AGAAAATGAAATCCAAAATATTTTCATATAAACGAAAATAGCCATAAAGGCAAGCAAGTAAAGTAGCGTAAACTATGAATAAATTGATTTTATTGACGACCTTAGAAACGAATATAAGATATGAGCATAAAATAAGGCTAGTAATAATAAGAAACTGCTATGACAGATTAACAATAGACCCCGAATAAAACGTTTTTATATGTTAAGTAGGTAAGAGAATGATCAGTCAAAATGTTTAAAGTTAGTTTTCTGAACCACAAGTAACCAGATGTATACACGTAATTTCGTTTTAGGTGTCGAAAGGCTGGTAGTTCAATTTTCTCGCAGCAATGACTAGGCCTTACATTTTCTTTGAATTTCATATAACTTTATTACCAATAGGTATTCGCATCTTGAGTGAACATCATTTCCGACCTCACATTTGCCCTTTCATCACACCTAGCAGGAATACCTTTTGCCCCTCACAGTCACGACTGGTATTTTTATGCTGATCAATATGAGATAACGTGATTCGATCTCCTTACTTTATCAATATCATAGTCGGATATGATAATATAATTTAAAAAAGGATGACTCACATTTTTCACTGTTTCTTACTAAAATGGAAAGTAAGCAATATAAACATTAAATTCTTATAGATATAATAAAGTAAATGTAAGATAAATAAATAAATAATATATAAAAATAAAAAAGGAATACTTATAGATTATCAAATGTAGTTTAATAATAATGTACACGAATACATTTTGAAAAATAGTAAAAATGCTTAGATATGACAAACATACAAGATAGATTTTTGGCCTGAGAAGCTAACATAGTTGTAATTATGGCGACCTAAAAATAAATGAATATAAAAAATACAATAATTTGATAAAATAAATTATGGTAAATAAATATAAAAGTAAAATTCAATAACTCTAATGTAAATTAAATGCTAAATAAGCGAGTAAAAAAGTGACTAAACGTAATATGTTACCGTCAAATATTGGGCCATAATATGCACTTTGAAGGACTTAAAGTTATCTAAACTTTGGTTCTAGGCGAAAACATAAAATAAAATGTATAGGAAATTTAAAGTCAAACGATAGTCGGCTATGCTATCGTAAGAAAAGGGTGCAGAAGGAACAGATCCAAATAATAAAGCAGTATGTATATATATATATACATATATGTTTATACAATAATCAAATTTATTGTTTTTCCTGTTTACACAACTAAGTGTTTACCTTAAGTTTACGTCTAGCATTGAATTTTTTCAAGCATTCCACAGTTTCTTGCCGATGTACCATAGAAGCAACACGATCTCTTTGCTATAAAAAATATAATAATTAGTTGGGAGTAGCATGATTATGTAAAATTGTATTAGGAAAAAATAATCGTGAAAGAAATAGATATAAGATGCATTAAATATCTAAAACTATATCAATTAAGCGTGCCTAAGTGATACGTACTAGTAATTTCAAATGAGTCTTTGGAAAGCTGAAATTAGGTTAAAGTTATTAGCATGAGAACATTGCAACACGAGAAACACAGTCTCTCTTAAAGCACTAAGTTATAAAAACTCAACAAACATCAATTCCGAATTAAAATTACAGACATAAATAAAATTTTGTGGTATCTTTCATTTTGTTTGAAGAAGCAAGTGGAAGGGATACGTAATTTGACCTCAACTGAAATTGAAGAATTGCTGCCTTGGATCTGTGAATGTAGATTTGTGCGAATAAGTCATATGATAACTGTCCCATGGACCCGATCAACTAATAGTTGGATTTTTTCACTGTTATAAGTAAGCTGTGTGTTTTTATTCAATTTCACATTGTCTTGCTTCTGAGAGTGGACTATATTCCCTAACAGGACTCAATGCGAAATATTTAAACACTATGCTTATAGAGAAATGAATTTCAAGGAAGCCAATGCCTTTCGACCAAACCAAGGTGTAAATTAGAGTCCGCTTAGGATAAAGATAAATTTTTGGTAGAAACATTAAATTAAATTCAATTTGCTTAAACGAAAGAGTAAATGCAGTTTTTATGTCAGGTGTAATGGTCGTCTCGAAAAATAATTAGTAGGTTACTATAGGAAATACAACTTTGTTTCATCCCACTAAAGAATATAATATGTGAAAAGGCCTGGTATTCCTTCAAAGTCACACCTTCCCTTTGATCAAAAGAGACTCGTTGCAGTGTGGCGTAGTGGTTAACGCGTCGAGGTTGTGCTGCCCTACAACAGTTCGAGTCCTGCAGTGGGAGCTAGAGACCAAGGCGAGATTAAAACTGCAGACCATCCTGGATGAGAATAACTTTTCGAAAGAGTTATGTTAAATTAGGAGGAAATGTAAGGTTTACTAATTTCATTGTGGTAAAAAGTTGACTACCAATTCCCTTATCACCTTAAACGAAATAGGTGGGATACAACGCATGTATAAGTCTTTCTTGTCTGGGTGCTTGGTGAATTATCGCAAACCGTAAGATCCTGCTGACTGTCAAATAGTGGGTGAATCCCCAGCAACGAATCATAAGTCTTAAGACAGTGACCTAAGGACTTGCTCGTACAAAGCTACAGTGACAACTCCAAGACAACCCCCTTAAGATTTCCGGTAAGACCAACTTACGAATTCTGAACAATCATCCCTTCAAGCAAACTCACAGATGCTCCCGTATCATTTTATTGAAGGATTCTTCGAAAACCAATTTCTTGACATATAAGAAAGTTAACCTATACTAACAGAGTAGAAAGAAAGCAATTTTGATGTCCAAACTCGAAAGTAAAGATTGAGTCGTTTTACTAATCAGAGAAAACAATGATAAATCAGACATGTGTAATCCCAAACAAAAAAATGCTCAGCAATATGCATCACTAATTGCTAAATGATTATTACAAATTTATATTGATGCATCAATTCAGTTTAAAGCAATGCTTTATTTAATTATACACCAACAATAAATGTTAGCACTTTCAATAAATTTAAAGACAATCTTTTATGCTATAGGCATTGGGTTTAAAACCTAAAAAGTCAAGATACAAAGAGATCGAAAGAGGATTTAGATTGTATATAAAGTTGCAAAACAGTTAGAAATGAAGCAGGAAAATAAATGGTTGTATTAAGAATTTTCTCGTGTAGTTATTTATAAGGAAATGCGAGACAAGTTAAAAAATTGAAATTCATTTTTAGTAGATGAAAATATGTCTGAAAATGCATAAGGAAAATGCTTGCGGATTTTAATAAATGCAAAACGACATTTAGGAAGCAGCGAACTTCTTTTTTTTAAAGATTGAATTAAAGGTGAAATAAAGGATAAAATGATTTTTCACCAAATTCTTACACATATCCACGGCTGCCGAAGAGCTTCGGCTGCAGTTATTCTTTTTCCAGGGTTTACCGTAAGCATGGATGTAATCAGCGTTTTTACCTCAGGAGTTACAGTATCCCATTCAGGAGATGGAAACTAGTTGAATAAAACGTGAAATGACTTAACAAAAATTGAATAAGGATAACTAAATATAAAAAATTCTAAACAAAAAATTGGAATCCTTCCATCATTACATCAAGCAAAAAATATCAAATAAAAATTAAATTATCATTTTGATAAAATAAGAAGGTAGTTGTAAGATAACCTCTAAATCAGCAAAAAAATTAAGTCTGAACAAACATAACTATAAAAAAAGACAATGATGGTGTGGCCTTAGGTTCATTCACAGATAGCGTTTTTTGCCATAGTATTTATGATAACTCCAACGATCGAATCATTTACTTGGTAATTTCTCTGATATTATGCCAGCATCGCCAGTGATAGGCTTCATTCTTAGTACAGAAATACCCTTGACTAATTTTATGTTCAGCCACTTAACGTCTCTACTGCTCCCATAGCCCTAGATTTTAGCACTCCATCACTATTTCTCAGTCCCATTTGGTATGACCCATTTACTCATTTACACCATTCTGTGTCTCCCATTTTTCCATTCGCTAAAATGTGTCTTACTTCATATGGATTTATAAAAGTAATAACTTTTACCACCGGTTTCAGATGTCACTTGCACAATTTCTGAGATCCAATCCACATGTGGGCAGCAAGATAGTAAGTGATTTTTAGGAAACAGCTGGCAAACGGGGTTGAGAGGGGCAAAACCAAGATAGAGATTGAGTCACAGAAGCCCTGCAAAATTCATTAGAAACCGGTAAGTGGGATTATTCTAAATCTACTTGAATCTATTTGAACTGACAGAGGCTAGAAAATAAATCCGGATTAGCTGGATGATTTAGTAAGTGAATATCAAGAAGGAGTGTACAAAAGAATAAACTTTTATCAAATTCTATCGTTGTATAATACCATATCTAGAAAGTGCTCACATCATAGGCGCCTGCTTTAATGTGAGTGTAAAGCCGGTTTTGATCCTCATCCCAAAAAGGTGGATAACCTACTAGGAGAATGTAAAGTATGACACCTAAAAAAAATAAGAAGAAAAGAATGAATAAACCGCAAAATGAGAATGAATAATTCAACTAAGAAACAACTCATATCAATTAAATAATTATTTAAGAGAGAGAAATCAATCAACAGGCCTTATGAGTAAATGAAGAAGAATAAAAATAATTGAAACTTGTATGGTGAATTTTAAGTTTTTTTTCATAGTATGCCAATTTGGAAACGCTAAGGTTTAAAATAGGGAACTTTATTTAGTATATTAAGGAAAGCTCCAAAAATGGATCTTAGCAATACTTATTAAATCAACGGATCTGATTTAGTTATCAGGTGGGGATCAATTTGTGGCCGTGACTGTAGATTTGTGCAAATAGGTCCTCGGTGCACCGCAATGCAATCCCGATAAAGCTCCGCTGAGCTTTCGTCCGTCATGTGATGGACATCATAAGAACAGGACACCATACCTAACGATACTTCACCTGTTATAAACCTACCTATTTCTTATAGTCCAATTTGGTCCACTTAGATATATCATGTTTTGGTTGGATATCCTATTTTTTGCCTAAATGTTTGCTCAAAAGTTAAGCTAAGTGGCTGCAGATGAAGGGTAAAATGGATGCAATTGTGACCAAACAGCTGCATCCTCCACTAAAACACTTATGTCTTTGATTCTGCATTGTTCCCGCATGTTATTACGTTTCAGTGCCAGCATGTTATGTGACTGCATTGCTACAACTAGTGGAAGAGAAGTTTCCTGTCAGAAGGGACATTCCGTATTAATGCTTTATCAAACAGGCTATTACAATCCATTAATTAAACCAAGTATGCCTATTTTTGTAAAAAGTTTACTATTACTGAATTTAAATATGCATACCACATGCCCACATATCCACAGGCTTTCCATATGGTTCTTTGCGGAGTACTTCAGGTGAAAGATATCCAGGTGTTCCAGCAAAGCCTAAAGCGAAATGATGAAAAAAGGAACCTAGTAACTAAGAGAATTTTGTGAAACGTATTCAAGAGAGTTGGTAATATTCAAGTTAATTCAAAAAGAGGAACCTGAACAATCCAACTAGCGTAATAGCAATAAATATTGATCAGTTACAGACAATTTTTTATCAGAATTGGTTTATATACTGAAAGAATATAAAAAAACATCAAACTATTCTTATTCGAAAGTAGTGAAAATCATTAAATGCATGAAATTCAGCGTTATAGGTATTTTTTGAGACTATTAGTAATTGTTGAATACGAACTTAAAAATCCAAAGTCGCTTGAGTTGATAATTGAGTTTTCCCATAATGAGAACAAAAGGCTGCTTCAACCGAGGTAAAAAGCAGTTTCTGCTTCGCCCAGGTATCATCAGGCCCGCGAAGAGAAATCAACACTGGGTTGTATTTTGGTGATGTTACTAGTCTACTGCATAGCCACGATTACCAATGGGACACAGGAAAGATGTAACATTCATAAAAAGTCAGAACTATCCTAAACTATGTTTCATATTTGTATGGTTGATTAAAAAACATTCATTTGCAATTACATTAAACGACATTATTTATTAAATGGGCTTCGACTTGAACAATAAATATGTCGTAATGCACAATATTAAACGAAGTAAAAATTAATTAGTCTAAGAAAAAAAAAGACTCCCTATATAAAAATCATCAGAAGTCTTTATAATTACATCAAAAGCTACATTGATGATTTGTCATATTTTTTATGTAGTCTCGAAAATATACACTCAAAGAATATAAATACATAATTAAGGCATGGTTATAGCTTGGATGCTTACTTAGCATCAGCATAATCCACTGAGAACTAAACTTTT